ATCTCACCCGATGATGCTTGTGGATACCTCAATGCGCAGGCGGAGGTCTTCAAGAATCCTGGGACAGGAGAATAGAAAGTTATCGTCAAAGGCAAGGGATCGTCTCACCATTAACGCCATTACGCATTCTTGTCAAACCAGCAAGCTTTTTATTGCACCGAGATTGTTGCAGTGTGATAATTGAGAGCAGAAATGCCGAAGATGTGAGAATAAGAATGATTGAGCTCCCTAACCCTAACCCTAACCCCCTAACGCTCTAACCCCCTAACCCCAACCCTAACCCTAACCCTAACCCTAACCTTAGGCTTTTCCCATCCCTATTTTTACCCTGCCTTCCATTTTTGAATTTTTTTTGTTTTTTTTTGTTTATTTTCAATTGCAGTAATCTGTATCGCTATCAGATTTTATTTCTTTATTTTCCGTATCGTTATCTTTGCTTTTCAGCTGTTGTTCTTTTTCTTCTTCTTCTTGATGTTTTCCCAGTAGTGGCGATATTTCGAAATAGGAAAAATCAGAATTTGTTGACAGTCTACTTGTCCAATGTTGTATTCCGAGCATTTCCTGTCTCCATTCTGCTGCTCTAATCATCCCTTTTGGCAGTTTCGCATCTCTTCCCTCTAATAGTGCCCTATGTTGTTCAAGATTCCTAAGATATCGTTCAACAGCTCTTGATTCCAGTCTTTTTAACTCCTTTCCTAAGGACGCTAAGGGACGTTGGTTGAAATGCCTCATTGATTCGTCAATGCTTCCTCGATCTCTATGTGATAGGCCGCGAGGAAGGTCCAAGGAATGAGGACTACCATCGCAATAATCATTGTAACGACAAAAACCAATTCTGGACGAATTCATAACATGGTTGCGTGAAAAATAGCGGAGGCCAGAAGTGCGATTTCCGCTACTGCTAGCTGCCATCAGTAGTTGAATGTGTTCAAGACTACTGGCAGTATTAAATTTGAAGGTCCTGTAGTTAAAAAGAAAACCAAAATCTGTTTTAGTATAAACATATGACATTTTTTTAAATTGCGGTGCCGGCCACGGAATGGTCGTCCACTGCTACAGCTGATGGTTTATCTCCCAACAAAATTGTTTCAAGAAGAATCAAAAATTCTACTAGCACCAGAGGGGCATTTCAGATGCTGGGCAGGGCATTGATGCGTTTCATGAAATGCTCACAGAACAAGGCTTAAGTAATTTATGGGATAAAGAAGGAAAGGAACTACTGAGAGTAGTAAGGCTGCTGAATAGAAAATGCAGTTTTGATGGCGCCTAACCATTTTCAACCCGCAAACTGCGCATTTGGACATATTAAGAGAATGAAAATAAGTTACCTATTTACAAAAAGATCGATTAGGGAACATCACCCAGGATGTTATTATAAGCCATTCGCAAACAATTTAACTATACTTAGGGTTCATTACATTGCATATATATGTTCAATTAAAACATGTATTTGTCATACATGCAATCAATTGTATTGTTCTTTTTCCTTAATGTAATGAAATAAGCAATTTCAAAATAGTGAGCTCCTATAATACAGTTCCTTTTCTTAAAAAAATTAGATTAATCAATGATGGTAACACAGTACTTCTCCTTTTTGCTGTCAGGTTCATAAACTTGGTCAATGTCTCTAAGCCTTATTTTCTTTCCAGATTCTTTGCAAAAATGACGCATTTTTGTTGCGACAAATGGAATGGTACGAAGCCCACAGAAGCTAGCCACCGACTCAGGAAAGCATTGCACTTTCGTAATACTTACGCGTCGCCACAGGCAAAGAGGCTGCGCTTGGTGTTGTTCAGGAAACAAATCTCCCGTGACAGCTCACTAGCTCTGCGATTTATTGCACTAAGTACTTCGTAAAAGGCTTTCATCGTCTGATTTAGTGCGTCTTCCTCCAACGACGTCCGAAATGTTATCACTTTCTTCAATCTTAGGTGGACCAAAGTGCACAATTTTGTGAGTGTTCTTTGTCGTCAAGAATCTTTAAAATTATGTCAATATTCTTCGCGCTTACCATGTTTTAACACCAACCACTTGATTTTGGTCAAAGTACTTTGAATTATAGTTCATAAGTAGCAAAAGGAAACTAGTAAACTTTGACTTGCAAGGCAACTAGAGACCTCATAATTTTATTCCACTAGACGTCATGCAAAATAAATTTAGAAAGGGAGCTACTATTGTGGACAGACCTTTCACACTCCTCTCTCTCCCACATCACAATCGACTCAAACTCTCCCTTGGAGAGTCTTAATGACGATCCATTCACTGTCAATAATCCCTCGGCGTTTACGCAACAATAGCATTTCAGTGGACGGCGCCCGCATTGAGCATTCCCTACGCCCGTTCCAAGTGAGCGCATTAATCCTCCGTTTCGAGACGTGGTGAAGGTCTGAGGAGACGTAGAGCGTGAGCGAACTGCCCTTCGATTGCCCGATGGCGATAATATCGGCGGTGTCGGTGACAAAGATGGTGAAGAAGGGAGATGAGTGGGTAAAAGAGGGGCTGCAGAACGGGAAGCGTACCGAGTTAGGCCGGGAAAGAGGTGGCTGGAGCTGAGTCGACAAAAACAGCGAAAGTTCTCCAACTGGCGTAATCTCAACTAAAATATTTTAAGTTTGGTTCAGCGACTATGAGGAAAAAATAATTCTCTTATCTCAACAATGCAATAAATGGTTTTGCTGGGGTCATTATCTCTGAATTTTGAATTTCCGCAAAAAGGTTCCACGCATGCATTCGTGCGATGCTCGCAAACGTCTGTCTTTATAAAATATGGACATATGCTTTTATTTAATCAAATATGCATGCCTCTTACAGGAAGACAATGTGCGTACAATATAATTTAAAATTATCTTCAAGCAAATTTGTTCAATTGTTCGGCTTTTAATTAATTGAGAGTCAGTGGCTGTTAAATGGGAGGATGGTATTCATTTCATTCTGCCTAGCCATTTTGTCGGTAATAAACATTTCAGCGATTGAGTTTTCGCAGTTGAATCAATAACAACCCAACATTACATTACATTACATTACATTAGTTGATCTCGCACAAATCGCTTAGCTGACTTTGGTATGCAACAGGAACTCTAAAGCACATTTAGACAAAAGGTTCTAAAATTACACATTGTCACAAGAGTGGATATAAAATTTAAGCTTGATTGTTTGAAGAATTAATTCAAATTCGCAATTTCTAAAATTTAAAGGCCCTCCTCATACCTGCCACCGAATATTGTATTTGCGCACTTGCTTGTTTCGGAACTCTTCGATACGATCCTTACATAGCTTCTCCAGTCTTGATTTGACCCTATGTGACGTCGCAGTAGCTTCGACCTTCAGGCTGTTGATGGCCTTTAGATGATTTTCCAATACCTTCGAGCAGTGAAATAAAACTTATTGTTCATTTAATCTTAAGTTTTTATTAGATTTTTTAACACTCTCAATTTATGTCCGAAAGTGCTGTTTTTAATTCAATTCCAAAGCATTTGCTTAATTTTTTGCTTGAATATGCAACAATCCCTTTACTTTTCGTAAATGACCAACTATAGCAGGTATTTAGCTTTATCATTAAAAGGTGGTTTAATTTTTCCTTATCAACAGAACTTGGGACTTCAAAGCAATTTTCACTTTCATATGGTAACATACAGTGCTGCTCTTGGCTCTACATGAAATGTAGTTAAGCATTTTGATGTCTCTCTTTATCGGGGTATTTAGCGCATTTACAACCTCAAACTCAATGCTTATCCCACACTGTACAGTCGTATACCATGGAAGCATTTTAAGATTGTAATGCTCCATAATGGGCTTAAGCCTATGGTGGGCTTTATTATAATTTTAGCGTCAGTAAGTAGCTGCAACTGCTTTTTGGACAAGGAATCCCAAAATTAAAAAGATTATTCACATGACTAGTCTCAGTTTGTGGAACTTGTGGAAGTCGCAAAGCGTATTCAAGAGGCGCAAAACGAATTTTCACAATAATACTGCATTTGTCATCATATTACTTAAATTAGAATGCCTTCGACCACAGCCAGGCTTACCTTAGCTTTGCCCTTTGCCCTGGGTGAGACACCCTGTTCGATAAAGCAAATATTCTCAACGAGAGTCTGAGCGCACTTTCCTTTTGGAAACTCAAACCAAAACGCGTAGATTTTAAAAGAAAAATCGTCAAACTATTAACGTTACCAAGTCCATTACCTGAGATCTACAAATAAAGTTTGTTTTTAAGAGATGAACAATGCGACAGAGGGAACTCACTCCACTTTGGCTGGTCCGCTTAAACCTTTGAAAAATATATTTTAAATATTAGTTTAGTCTAACTGATAAATTTATCAAAATAAACCAAGAAAATAAAAGTCTTCTTAAATAGGAGGGTGACTCTGCATAATATAGGCAGCTTTTACGGAATTTATACAATTACTTATGCAGTCTTGAAATTGTCGCAGTAAGGAACCATAAATGGGATGTTTCTTTGCCGCAATGTGAAGTCAAAACAAGGTACAGTTTGCCGCCTTTATCCATTCAGCGCAGACTGACGTAACAGACTGTAGTTACAAGTTCCCGGCTCTAATGCATCCTATTCTGCCAGTTTAGCACAATTATTTTGTGTTGATAGCGCTATCCTCATTTTCGAAATTTCTGAACAATACTTTTGGAAGGACAGTACAACATGAGGCACGAATATTTGCGCTGGTTTAGAGCAGTTAACCGTTATTATGATGACAGTCAACTTACCAACAGCGTAGTTCATTTCTGTAAAACCTTCTGCATTTGATGTGGAGCTTGTTTCGAAATCGTCTCTCTGTTGCCAGTGCCGCCTTAATCGGCGTCTAGTAGTAGACAAAAGCAACTTCGATGAGGATTGATGCGGCCCATCTAGGGATTTCGTTGCATTATCGTTGTCTTGCTGACAATAGGGAGCCGGCAAACTTCGCAACAGCTTTGGTTTCTGTAAAAATGACTGTTTCTTTTTGTCTTCGTCAAAAACTGATGGACATGGCGGAAGCGGCGGCCTGAACCTTATTATTGCAAACATAAGTCGTTACAGCGAATCATTTTCCCAAAAAAGTGATTTGCCGCATATTTTCTTTATCTTTAAGTTCTACCACTATAATTTGCTATCGATGTTTTTCTAATGGTAAAATCTCAAAAGGGTACTGCTTGTGAAAAATTGGCAAATATAGCTGATCAGTAGCTAGGGTGAAATCTTTCATTTAGCATCAATCATGGACCATAGTTTGCTACCTTTATAGTAAGTGAGTAGTAGAAGCATAAGTCAGTGGATTTGAATCCACCTTAAGGACGATTGTTTTGAAAACTCACGGAGAAGAAGTGCAAAATGAAGGGCTATCCCGACAGTCGGAATCAGTGGCTTTCTCGGTAGCACAGAATTCGAGGTCCATCGGTAAAGTTTTACCTGTAACGCGGAAAAGTGCAGTTTTGCCATAAAATAATAACATTATTATTGCAACAAAAATGGGGCAAAACTTTTTTTCAACAATCGGCTCCGGTTTTAGGCTTCAGTAGGAAGGAGCCCTTATTATCTATTGGTAATACAGAAATTCAAACTCTCTAACGGATTTACATCAGTTGAAACGCC